AGAGAGAGGCAGAGAGAGAGAGAGAGACAGAGACAAAGACAGAGAGAAACACAGAGAGAGAGAGAGACAGAGAGAGAGACACAGGGAGAGAGAGAGAGAGACAGAAAGAGAGAGACAGACAGAGAGAGAGAGAGAGAGACTGAGACACAGAGACAAAGACTGAGAGAGACAGAGAGAAAGACAGAGAGAGAGAGAAGATAGAGAGAAGGGGAGAGAGACAGACGCACAGAGAGACAGAGAGAGAGAGATAGAGAGAGAGACAGACAGACAGACGCACAGAGAGACAGAGAGAGAGAGAGACAGACACAGAGACAGAGACAGAGATAGACAGAGAAGATAGAGAGAAGGAAGAGCAGCAGGACCCACCAGCCAACACCCTCCCCTCCTCCTGAGTGACAGCGCGCAGATGTCTCAGATCCGTCTTGTTGCCGACCACCATGATCCGCGCCGATCCGTCCGCGTGTTCCCGAAGTTCCTGCAGCCATTTCTCCAAGTTCTCAAAGGTCTGCGTCTTTGTGATGTCATAGACGACCAGCGCCCCCACCGCCCCGCGGTAGTACCTGAGGAGCAATCAACTAGCATCTTATCTTATCTCATTTTATCTCAACTTATCTTATCTCATCTTATCTCATTTTATCTCATCTTATCTAATCTCATCTCATTTTATCTCATATTATATCATCTCATTTTATCTTATCCCATTTTTATCTTTTCTTATCTCATCTCATCTAATTTTATCTCATCTCATCATCTGGTTTTATCTTATCTTATCTCATCTCATTTTATCTCATCTCATCTTATCTCATCTCATTTTATCTCATCTCATCATCTGGTTTTATCTTATCTTATCTCATTTCATCTCATCATCTGATTTTATCTTAGCTGATCTCATTTATCTCATCTTATCTCATCTTTATCTCATCTTATCATATCATCAGAATTTATCTTATTCTATCTCATCATCTCATCTGATCTCATCTTAATTTTATCTTATTATCTCATCTTTATCTTAACTTATCATCTCATCTGATTTCATCTTATCTTATCTTTTATAGTTAGAGTGGGTTTGTTTTTTTCATTGTAAGAGTTTGAGTTTTGAGTTTCAGTAAAGGTTTTTAGTTTAGTTTTAGTAAGAGTTTTACAGCACTGCAGCATCACAATAAGGTCATATAAGTGCCGAAGATTGGAGGTGTTACAAGAGAGTAACAAACACAAAAAAGAAGGAGGGGAGATAAGGACGATAGATGTTTGATAGGA